CCCCCCTCCAAGAAATAATATGACCAAATTGAATGTTTTTTTGTTTGTTCTTAAACTGTTGTGAACTTCAAACTGTTTCCGTACACTCAAATTTTTGTCTTCCCTAATGCCAGCACGCAATTTAGAGTAAATAACAACAAAACTAACATTCTTATCTGAAAATATTTTTTAAAAATTTTATAATATGATTTACTTCTAAGATGTGCAGTGAGAACCAAAAAAACTGTAGAATAGAATGACGTCATTAAAGTATTACTTATTGTTTGACTAATAAGTTTTTTAATCACTTATTAAGTAAAATTTACACTGCTCAATTCATATGTCTCATGTTTCTTGGACTATTTACATTCATGACTTGAGTGTAAAAGTTGTACTCCTTTTCCAGAGTTTTCTGGTTCTTACTGTATAAACAAAATTGATTTTTTTTAAAATTTGAAATATTTCTTTTTTTATTCTGTTGATTGTTTAAAACCTTGTGCTATAACCTATTTCCAGTGACTCTTTAGGGCATTTTTACGTCATAACCCTGAAATGGGCGGCAACACTGCCACTGAAGGCATTTTTTGGATCCATTAAACAAACGGGAAAAGATGTCAATATTTGTATCTGATTATTTGAAAGGTTCATGTTGTTATTTTTTAAATCTTTACATTTTTTCAATGTAAATTTGAATAAATATATTTTTTTTTCAGTCGCCTATGTAATGGAAATGGGGGACACGTCCCACAACGGAAAAATTTTGGGGCGCAAGAAGAGAGAGCAGGCGCCATCTAGACCTTTAATAATTTTTATTTTCAAAAATAGATTTTTTTTAAATTGATTGCAGCCACTTAAAATCACTCAAAATAAAGAAAATTTTATAAAAAAAAAATATATAAAAATTTGGGAAAACCATTTTCCTACCCTCAGGACCCCGCCCAGCTTGTCAGAAGGACTTTTCCATTAATTTTCAAAAATTGCTTCATTGCTCCAATTTTAGGATTTTATTTAGTTTTGTTTTGAAGTAAAAAAAAACATAAATAAGGAAAATGGCGTCTGAACTATGATGTGAGAGTGCTTAATGTTGTTGTTTATCACTATATTCCTCGTGGTTTTGTTTTGTTTGAAGAGAATGTTATGCTAAAGCTTAAATATATCCGGATAAAAACAATCCTGAGCTGAAAACTTTAGAATGGTGGATATTGAGATTATCTTGATCCTCTCTTTTTCTTAATATCGAGACTAACCTAATCTTATACTTGTATCCTGAAAAGTGTATAAAATTCAACCAATCAGAGTCGTGTATATGAAGCTGATAAATTTGAAATTTTGCACACCAATTCAGATTAATATTCAGGAACGGTAGGAACTCTCTAATTTAAAAAAACGGCAATTTGATTTTTCTCTTCTATATCCAAGACAAACCGGTTTAAAAAGAAAATCAAAACTGCGTGCATAAAGTGTGAATAAGTAATCGTGATTAAGGATATCTCATACTTAAGTTTTGAGCTCTGAGCCCTAAATTTTAAAGAATAAATGAATGAAATCAACACAAGTTATTTTTATTTATGGGTCTTATTTTGAGAAATAAGTGACAACCATAAAATAAAAATTAATACTTGCAAAATTGTTTTTACCAGTTAAAGAAATCCAGTTTTCTATGAGAAGATTTTATAACTTAAACATGTTTTAACAAATTTAATAAAAAAGTAAAGACTGAGATTTTCCTTGAAAAAAAGGTCGCGGTTGTGAAAAATCAATGTTTTTTATTTTATTTAAAAAAAAACAAGTTTTTGACAAGCCCTGATTAAATATTAATCAATACCATATCTTCTTATACTTAGAGATAGGCAATATTTTTGTCAACAAATGAATTTTTTAAAACGAATGAATTTTCTTGTGAACAATGGTGAAGTTCAGAAAAAAAGTGAGAAATTGAAAACGATTAGTTTCTTGAACAAGCAAAAAAACACAAAATGAACGATTTAGAATTGTTCAAATGATGAAAAATAAAGTTTTGACAATGAATTTGTCTGAAACCTTCTCCAAGATCTTGTAAACGATCGAAAAATGATTGTTTTTCGTTTCATTTTTTATTATTTTTTAAAAACAATCGTTTCCTTTTTGGAAAAAAACTGTCTTTTTTTTAAAACAAGCCATGATCGTTTTTAAAAACAATTTTCTCTAATGAATCTGAGTTTGATGACAATTAATTTCAATATTTTTAAGGAGGATAAGGTTGTCGTTAACGGCCGTTTAGGAAGAGTCGTTTTTGATAACGGTCATTTTAAAATTTTGAAAAAACATACTTTTTTTAACGAAAAATGATAGTTTTGAAAACTACATTTTTAAAAAACGATCGTTTCTTTTTTCGTTTGTTCTTCTTCATTTTAAAACTAACCGATCGTTTGCTAGAAAGTGGAACCGATCCATCCCTACTTGTACCCTGTAGGCCGTAGGGTGGTACAACGAGAATCATGTCTCGGGGTTGAACTTTAAAGAGAATTTCACTTATTTTAAAATACATAATTCACCAATTTTTAAATATAGAACATTGAGCCGATCAAATATACCCTTGATGGTCGGAATGATTTTTACAATGTGTCACAAAGATCTATTATCATCTTTCATTTCGTATTCCGCTCACATAAATCAGAGGATTCATTGGCGTACATATCCCGTACATATCCTGTACATATCCCGTACATATCCCGTACATATCCCGTACATATCCTGGACATATCCCGTACATATCCCGTACATATCCCGTATATATCCTGTACATATCCCGTACATATCCCGTACATATCCCGTACATATCCTGTACATATCCCGTACATATCCCGTACATATCACGTACATATCCTGTACATATCCCGTACATATCCCGTACATATCCCGTACATATCCTGTACATATCCCGTTTTGTCTTATGTACAGCTTGCTCTTGCTGCTTGAAATTCATCCCGAGGCCGAATTTAAAGAATTTGAGCTGCGGCTTAAATTTGAGACGCGGCTCAAATATAGTTTGTTCTACTTAAAATTGTAATCAATGTTTCAAGATTTAATCCGGTTTTTGGCGGATTTGTGACGCGGCTCAAATTTGTTAAATTCGGACTCCGTTACTTGGACTGAACCGGAGTTTTGAATAATCTTTTTAAGGAAAATACTCTTACGCTTTATAAAGGTAAAAAGGAATTGAGTTTTTGCCACAAATTCAAATTTTCTAATTTTTATTTTTATTTTTATTTTTATTTGCAATCTGATTTTGTAAACCTTTAAAATTTTTAAGTTAGATAAAATTTTATTTTTGAAGAATTTATAGTTTGAAATATCAAAGGTTTACGGGTTGCGAGTTGATATATATGGATCGACTAAAAATTAAGAATTTGTGGTTAAAAATTCAATTCATTTCCTGAGGGGGGTAGTATTTGATTAGCGAATTATAAATTAACCATATAAATCTTATTAAATAATTTGTTGATAATTAAGAATATTGCAAATACCCTTCCAATTTTTGATGAGAACTGGTTTTCGAATATATTTGATATATATAACCTATTGAAAAGGTCGGATATTTTTAGCTATAACTTTTAATTTTATGAAAATAGATTGATTTAAAAGATTTGTCCGGAAAGACCACCACAAACACGTGTAGAAACAACGTAATTTTTTGAATAAATTTGGATTATAATTAGCAGGGGACATTAGTTCCAAAACGCAATTTGGCCCATTTATAACACTCAGTATCAAATCTGCAAGGTTATCTTTTTCAAGCGAATACATCTTTCAATCCAAGCCGAGTAGAATAGAACACACACCATACATTTATTGAAAATAAGTAATAGTTTATATTGAATCAAGAAATGTTAACTTCTAACTAATAATAAGGTGTAAGAATTGGTTTTGGATGGTTTTTGATTTCAATTTCGAAGATTTCCCTATTTTGAAACCGCATTTAAGCCTTTTAGGTCATGTTGCGTATTGTGACATATTGTGATTCCGAGACATCTAATCAAATGTATATCAATTTCAATTTTCAAGATATTTTGTTAAGGTAATATCAAGACAAATTATTATATAAAAATGTACGGTTCTTTCACAATTATAAAATACTATAGCTTTGGAACCCAGCGCTGCCAAGGCTGCTAAAAGTTACTCCCTTCGTTTACCCGCACTTGAACGATTTTACCCATAGATAAATAAATAAACATAGATAGCTTATGTACGCAAAATTACCAAGAATTGTACAGTCCGCGAACTCATACTTCTAGGGGTCAAAGTGTACTTCAATGATAAGGGGGGTGGTTTGGTGTTTTAATGGATTTCATAACTACGGGAATGGAACTGTTTGAACAACAATATTTCACGGAGCATTATATCATATTGACGAGAACTGAAGAAGGACATGAGAAGGGCTAAACTAACTTAAATTTCTCTCTACAGAACTCATGTACACCACAAGTACTCAATGACATAAGAACAGCCAATGTTCACAACCGACCTAGTTAATCTATATAATAGGAATATCTTTAAAACATCTCTGTACATTTATATCTTTCAAGATGAAAAATGTCGTCTTTTGTGCAATCTATCTTTATCTATGATTTTACCGGGAAACAAAAGTTTCGCTATAAAAGTCGACCCCCTCAACTTAGAATCTCAAAACCAAGCTAAAACATTCCCGTGGATCTCCCGAGTTCCCCAATCAAATTTAGAGGCGAATCCTGAGTTATGATAGGACAAACAAACAAACGCCCAAACAGAGATTACAACTTTATATTTATAGATTTAAGTCATTGAGAGATTGTAACATTAATATTTTTTGATCTTTTTACGAATAGAAAACCTAGCATTGTTTTTAAAACGGTCAAAAGTTGTATATATAATTAGATTTGTATTATAATTGTGATTTTAGAAAATAATTTGATAATTTGAATTGTTGTTCTCGAGTTATGCTTAATAAAATGTTGATTACAGATTTTTTTACGGACCATACACCCGCTTTGGAAGGCATGTGCCAAGCATAAAATGTATGTTTGATTGGTCAAATTGTCATCAAAAGTCACATTTTTCTAGGATAAGGACCGAACTGTTAAATCTGATCGTATTTATAACTGGTCTTAAGTCTTTAAGGCCCGGGTATTTTAACTATTTTAAAACTAAGAATGA